AATGAAGTGGGCGGGCATCGGGAGGCCACTATGGCACGGGGCAAGCACTATGGGCAGTCTATCTGAAGTGTACCTGGCGTATAAGACAACCCCCCACTTGGAGGCATATTTTTCAGGGCCAAAAAGTCGTCTTATACGCCGGCAAATACGGTAGTTTCTTAGTAATGGACAAATTATGCACCTTGTAATTATTAAGATCCTGTTTAGCCAGTAGTGTTTGAGATAACTGCTAAATAGCCATAGTAAACATCCTTTGGGCGCTAAGGCAGAAACTCAGCTCTAGCCATTATAGGTAGAGATTGAAACATAGTTAACTTAGTCATTAGTATAGAACAGATCGGGCTGTACCCTGTAACAGAAACATTACGAGGAAGTAAAACTCTGAGAAAAACCATTTCTAAGGAAAACAGACGCTGGGAAAGAATATCGAAACTGTGTATATCGAAACTATATAAAAAACAACTTCCTAATGGGTAAAAGTTTAAACTTGGAAAAACAACTCTGGAAATAAACAGTTCAATGAGGTAATGGTCAACTGTCCAGTATAAAAAGGACATGCTGTAAAAATAGAGACACTTCTTCTTGAAAGCACCCCTGTGTCTCCACGTGTCTTTCTTCTTATTCCTCGCCGATACCGTTCTCCACCTGAGGGAAACCCTGGACCTGTGGGAGCTGGTCTCCCACAATCTATTTATGAATTTCTCTCTCCACAAGGTCAGGGGTTATCAACCTCATAACTCAGACACATTAGAGTTGAGGCCAGTGGCAGAGAAGGAGTGGAATTACAGTTTGTGGAAAATTACACACATACTATCTTAACTATGCTGTTATCTATGCTATAGTTGCCCCTACCTAAAGTAAATCTAATTTTCCCATAGAAATTCATTACATGAAGATCAAGAGTCACATGTGCTGCACTAGGAATGTATCACAGAAATGATCACTGATATAAGAAATGGCATCCTCTCATATCACTCAAAATAATTAATACCTTGGCATACTAGCTTATTAACAGTTCTCTGTAAGTTTGGACAGTGAATTCCCTAAAACCTGACCATTCTTGAATCTCATGACGCTAAGGTGTGCATGAAGCTCAGTGCCATCAGGCGCTTTCTCATCTAGGGTACGCAAGAATCAGGCTTTAAGTTTCTTAACAAAATACCAACATTGCTGTCTACCAAATTGATATGCTTAATATACAAACCTTTATGATCAACAACACACTTATACTTAGATACCTGTTAACAACCTAAATCTCCACTGCTGATCTTCATCTAGTACAAGCCTACAACCAATTTACATTGGAGAGAAGACTAAGAGCTATTCCAATACCACTGCATGCTATTTGTTAAGAGTCATTATGGAATAGTCATGTTACTTGTTTTACATATATTTTCTTCAGAGCCACACACTGATATAGCTATCGCCTCTATTTTACAGATCAGGAAACTGACAGTAGAGTTAAATAATTCCTAAAGTAATATGTTCAGAATATGAATTCCAGATGTTTGTCCTTTACAGTAACTACAGTCCATGTAGTAGTGTGCTAGAACCAGTTCACACTAATTCATAAGAGCCAACTGTTAAATTTTTAAGAACCGTGTAAGCCATTGTAAAGCAAAGCTATAATTAAAAATTAAATTATATAAACTAACGATTAAATAATATCACAAAGGTAATAATTACTCAAAAACTCACTTCCTAAATATTTAAGTACATTTTATTCTTGTGGTTATATTTATTGTATGTATGTATGTATGTATGTATGTATGTTCATGTTTGTGAGAATACTATATAATAGCGTAAAACTGAGTATCTCTTCCCAATTCTGTATTCAGTCACATCACTTTGGTAGCTTGAAACTGACCATGATAGTATTTACACCAAAGAAACTGGCGAATCCTACAAAGCATAGCTTTCTTTTTTCTTTTCCTGAGTGGTTGTTAAACATTTATCAGCAAACGACAAAGTCCATTCATTATACTGAATCAACAGGTTATTTCAAAATGCAATACACATGCTCAGCCCCAACCCAGAAATTCTAATTCAGTAGATAAGGGGCAGAGCTCTGCATGTGTATTTTGGAAAAGACCTTCTTTCCTCCAAAAGATTTTTTTACATACCTCCAGCTGAGGACTATTATTTAAGATTTCTAAAATATATATATCATATTAGATGTTAGAAAGACACATATGGAAAACTGCATTACTTTAGGTCACCAAAGATAAGTCTTTACAAACTATAATGTAAAAATGTGACAAAGCTTATTTTTTATCAAGGATCAAAAATAGCCACATGAAAGCTTCTATATATCTTTAACTAACAAAGAGGTTGCTGCTTATACAATTCAATAACTTTCATAAAAAGATGATAAAATGACTAGATATTTACATGTAAAAGAATGAGATTGCACCCTTACCTCACCATCATAAAAAAAATTTAACTCAAAATGGATCAAACATTTAAATGTAAGAGCTAAAGCTCTAAGAAATTCTCCGAGGAAAACATAAGCATAAATCTTTTTTACCTTGAATTAGACAAGTTTCTTAAATATGATTACCAAAGCAAAAGAAACAAAAATTTAGATAAACTGGATTTCATCGAATTAAAAACATTTGTGCTTTAAAGGACATCATCAAGAACATGAAAAGGCAACCCATAAAGTAGAAGAAATTTCTGCAAGTCATATATATGATAAGGAACTTGTACCCAAAAATATATTTTAAAAAATCTTATAAATCAACAGTAAAAAAAAAAAAACCAATTAAAAAGTGGATAAAAGATCTAAATAGACATTTCTCTAAAGAAGATATATCAATAGCCAAAAAGCACATGAAAAGATGCTCAACATTATTAGCCATCAGGGAAATGCAAATCAAAACTACAATGAGATACCACTTCACACCCACTAGGATGGCTATAATTAAAACGTTAGATAATAACAAATGTTGGCAAAGATGTGGAGAACTAGAAAACCTTATACACTGCTGGCAAGAATGTAAAATGGTGCAGCTGCCTTGGAAAACACTCTGGCAGTTCTTCCAAAGGTTAAACATAGAGGTTTAAAAAGGTTAAACCATATGACTCAGTAATTCCACTCCTAGATATAAACCCAAGAGAAATGATAAATATGTCCACACAAAAACTTGTATATGAAAGTTCATAACAGCATTATTTATGAGAGCCAAAAAGCGGAAACAACTCAAATGTTCATCAACTGATGAAAAGGTAAACAAAATGTGATATATATCAATACAATGGAATATTTGACAAAAACAAGGAATAAAATACTGATAGACCCCATAATCTTTCATGAACCTTGAAACACTATACTAGTCACAAGAAACTACATATTGTATAACTCCATTTATATGAAATATCCAGAATAGGCAAATCTACAGTGACAGTAGGTCAAACAGTGGTTGCTTGGGGCTTGTGCTCAGTTGGAGATGGGTGATGGCCGTAAAGAGTATATGGAGTTTCTTTCGGAGGTGATGAAAATGTCCAAAATGGACTGTGGTGATGATTACTCTGAATATACAAAAAATAACTGAAGTGTACACTTTAAATGGGTGAATTGTATGGTATGTGAATTATATATCAACAAAAATCTGTTACAAGCACACACATGAGTGTGATAAATTTCTTGGGGGAAAAAAATAGCTCTAGAAAAGATTTCCATTCCTGACAAACACCTGTTTTCTTTTATTGAATAAACTACAACAGAAATTGTGCTTCTCTTCTGGCTTATTTGCAAGGAAATTCAACACTAAATTTTGTGGTCTTATGTGCTTTTCTTTACCTTAAGTTTTCTAGTTCAGTTTCTGTCACCACCATCCCTTGCTTTCATTGTTTTAATTTAAAAGTGTCTACTTTAAGCTACTTCAATATTCTCTGAAGCAGGCAGGATATGATGGCTAGCTGAATTCTGAAAACTTAAGAATATGTTTAGATACTCATGATCCCCACCAAGGTACAGAAACCCTATGAAGTTCGCTTGAGCTCTGCCAACAAATTCCCTTCATCGTAACTACCACCAAGAACTCAAACAATCAGAGAATTATGAGTTTGCCAAAGGACTTTTTTCCTGTAAATTACACTATCTGTGTAGAACACTATAATGCAGTATTATACATTTACCATGTACTTAGCACAAAAGATAATATTTAAAATGTAACATAAATGATAAATCATTACAGAAATTTAATTTTGTTTTGGGAAATTCATTCCTACCCTAACAGGTGAGGATGACTCCTCTGTACTTCGTTTCTGGGACTCAGTGTCCACATCTTGGCGCTTGTTCTTCATTCTTTCTCTGAGATCCCCTGTAGGTCTTTCTGGTGACCTTTGAACCAAAAAACAAAAACAAAACAACACAGCAAAAATCTATATGTACATAACATTTTTTAAGAATTTATTTTCACAAATAACTTCACAAATTTCAATATAATTTGTCTAACTGTCCGTGGCTTCTAAAGTTTAGAAAAAATAATTAACTTGTTTCATCTTAAATACTGACACATAAAAAATATTAGCATCACTTAGAAGTTTTCTTCCAATACCAATTAAAATTCCATGGGGTGGCAGGTACTAGTAATATGAATAGGAAACTATATGTGAGCTGAGAAAAAGCAACTGTAATTAGCTTAATTTGTTTTCTATTAATCAATGTATTATATTTGAAAGCAAAAAATAGAAAGATAAAGTTTTAAACCACAACATTGCAAAATTAATCTAGATGCAACAGTGTTATCATCTACACATATATGTAGATGGATGCAAAATCAACTGAGAAAATATTTTATGCATCTTAAGAATCAAAGCAAATATAAGAGATATTGTGTTATTCTAACTTTTCTTAAATTTAAAATTATTTCAGAATAAAAATGATTCATAGCAAGATTTCAGACAGTAATTTTATATTCTGCTGTGGGCTTTTATAATTAAGAAAAAATACACATTTATATTCAACACTGGTACGGCTTCATAATTTATACTGGGAATTTGATAAATGGTTGTTCAATTATTTTTACACCATTACTAAGAAAAACAAAGTAGAGGTAAAAAACACACTGTCTTTAAAGAATATTCCCAGAGGACCTTTAAAAGAGGGCAATATAAGTTAGAGTATAGCCACCAAAATAATGTATATAATATCTTTAAAAGATACAAACAATCATATAAATATTCACATCTATTTCAAGTAATCCTTTATCAATCATTAATACAAATCACATGGTTAGTGAAGAATTAAGTTCAGTTAATTCATTTTAAAGGATCTCATTAACATTTACATGTTTATTTTATAGATCTATATTAAATGTTTTAACAGTTAAAGCTAACCTTAAAAATGGAACTTACTATGAATGAGTACGTAAATCCTTTAAATTATAATTAATGTACATGTAAATTTTATGTGCCCTGGTTTCTTCCATACAATAAGTTTATTCTAAACTTTTCTCTCATAAACAGCACCTAGCAGAGTAGTCTATATATATATATATATATATATATATACACATACATACAGTGAATGTTCAGTAAATGACTTAAATGTCTTATGACTAAATAAGCGTATCTCATATACATTGCTTTTCTTTCCACCTCTGAATCACATTATAAACTGTATTTTTCTTCACTACAAAAAAAGGGAAAATACACAAATATAAGAGAAGTTATCAGATAAAAAAAAACACAAACAAAATTGCAAAATTATAATAAAAAGTTCTTTATTCTAAGTCTAGTATGACAACATTTTTTTTCCATTTTAGACAAATTTCTCTGCCCATTTTCCTCAAAACTATCTGTTGTATAAAAATTGAGTCAGTAATAAATTTCAAAGATGAATTAAAGCATATATTAAAAGTGTAGTAACAATATAAACAAAACATTAAAATTATTGAAATAGTTTTCCCAGGTATGTGTTTATACAGGTAATTAGACTATTTTTGCAACACTGACAGAAAAAATGACATTCTAAATACAAATAGAATATTCAGCATCATAAGCAAACTAAATCTATACAACATTTAAATGACGAGAAAGTCAGTTGTTAAGGTTTTGAATTTTAAATTCTATTAAATTTCAAAATCTATATACACACACAAATTCATCCAATTAAATTAAAAATCTCCAAATGCTAATGTTCAATTTTTATACTGTTGCTGTAGCCAAAGCAATCAGCACACTCAATTTTAGAACTAGGCAAATTATTTGTTTACCAATCAAGTTTAAATTCTTTGTAACAATCTTTAAGTATGCTACTTTTTAAGCACAATAACAAAATCATCATGAGGGACTAAAAAAAAAAACCGTCTTTATTAGGAAAGTTTAATTTAGCTTTGCCTCTATAAAGGCAAAATGATGTTCTAAATAGGTAGCAGACTTATCCTTATATAAATACATATTTTCATTTACACTAATACATGTGATAAGGAATTTGGCAATTGCATTTTAACCTTCAGTGTTTGTGTTAGAATATCTTTTGTCATTAAGATTTGAATTTTGAACATCTTAAAAAGCTAAAATTATATCCTATTTAAATTTGGTATTTTAAGAGTTGAAAATAGTCTCTCTCTAAAAATAAATCCATGAAATCCTGCTGTCTTAAGCAGCACTTTAATACGTAATTGAGGGAGGAATAAGACCTACATAATATAAAGAAGATCTACTGTTAAAATAAGTAAATACTGAGAATATAAATTAATTTTAAAACAAACATTTTATTAATCTTGAATTTAACAACTAAAAAGATCTTGCTGATCTCTGACTGCATAGTGATAAGACTACCATCAAAATAGAAAATCTAACCAAATATATGGCTGTATTTCAGATTTTTGTACTACATTTAAAAAGCCATCTTCTAATAGTATACGAACAATTCAAGTTCTTGATTTACCTTCTGTAACTGCTGCTATAACCTTTACCACGGGGTGAAGGGCCATGTACGAATCTACATGTGTTTCCATAGAGGCAGTTGCCCGTCTTCAGCCAGTTACGGCACTGTGTCTAAGAGACAGATATTACTATGTAAATTTCATATTCATTCATACTTATTTCTGGACAAAAGATGCTAGGACAAAATTAAAACAAATGATATCAAAATTCCAGCTAACCTGTGATATACATTATTCCCCAAATAATAAAAACATCAGGGGAAAAAAACGAAAAACCCATAAACCCTATCACCCTTTTCACTCCTTTTTATGAAACACATTTTTAAAAATTTACTGAACCAACATCCCTATAATACAACCTGTTTACCTCTTTAATACAAATCAGAGTATTTCAAGAACAGGACTGCAAGCGAGAACCGTTGTAACTGTAGTAGTGACAACTCACCTCTGCTGTACTGCCAGTGCTGGGTCCGAGCCTCTCAAATACACTGGGTCTTCGGGATGTGCTATCAGATATGGTCTTGGTATTTTCCACTGTGACCTTCCTTCTAATTTTTGACATTTTGTACTACTTTAACCAAAAGAAAGAGAGGCAAAACTGTAAAATTCTTCTATTTGAAAAAATGAGCCCAAAACTTACAAGTAGATAAAACTATACTGTAAAATTACATGGGATTTTCCTCAGGACAAAAAAAGGCATAGGAGAGGTGACAGGTAAACAGAAGTTATCTTCTAAGATACACCTTATTAGTCAATTTATAACTTGAAATCTGTTGGCTAGAATTTTACCTCTTCTGCAGAGCGAATGAATAAGATCCTACTCACACAATTAAGTTTTCATAGTACATTCAACCTCAGAAAACACACTATAAAATTATTAGTTCCTAAGTTCCTTATGGAGTTCATTTCAAAATTTAGTAACTATCTGTTAAGGAAAAGTTGTACTATCGTTCCCCACCATTGGTTAACTGAAAAAGAAAGAAATGTTTAAAAAAAAGGGAAAATAATTTTACTAACCAATGTCACTCCAATTAATAAAAATTTTAAAAAATAGCTCAACTTTGCAATTTGGAAAAAAAAATAAAACAAAATCAGGTGAGAATTTTACTGACAGAAGTTATGTTTTATTCAGTTTAAGTGACATTAATTATGTTCCAAAAATCAGCTCGGGGGTCGGCTGAGTGGCGTGTTGGTTAAGAGTTGGCTTGGGACGCCAGCTCTGAGCATCAGGGTCCCGGTTTGGATCCCACATGGGCGCCAGTGATGCTGTGCCTTCTACAGCTAAGACTGTGAACAACAGCTCGACCTGGAGCTGGGCTGCCATGAGTCGCCGGCGAAGGTGTAGGCTGCAGTGGGGCTGGCCGGCAGCTGGCGTGAGCTTTCCTGCTCTCCCGGGAAGAGCGCAATGATTATACCAACATGGGCCAGTGAAGCAACGTCCTCCACAACTAGACTGAAGAACAAAAAGGACAGCAACTTGTCTGTTCTACTTCCCCGATTCCCCAATAAAATCTTTAAATTAAAAAAAAAAATTGGCTCAGGAGAAAAATGAATACCATTTAAATATTTTCTGTCTTACAGAAGTCAAAAACAGTTAATCAAGGATATTTATTTTCTAATAATACAATAAAATACCCCTCAATGTTGATGACTTTTTTTCAAAATAGAACAGGCTTTAGAACTCGAAAAAGTGAAGGTGCTTCTATAATCTATACTATATTGACATAAAACTTAAAGGTTCCAAAAGTGATAAAAAGGCTATTTTCCCATTACTAGCAACAAGAAAGACATTGTAAAAATATTTTTAAAAGAAAATAAAACACTAAAAATTAAAACCATAATAGAAAATTAATCCAAGTATGTAACAAGTATTTCAACTAGAAATAAAAATATCAGATAAAAGTTGCATGGTATACATTAGAAAACAATATTAAATTCTAGATCAAAAATAACCTAGAGAGTATACTACTGTAGGAAGTGGGTAGTAGGCACTGTCTAAAAGAAAAAAAAGAACTAAACAATATCACACTTTATACAATCTAAATATTAGTTGAAATGTATTAGTAGTGAAAATTAGTTACTAGAATGAATAATAGCAGCTAAAAAAGCAAAAATTCCATTTGGTATAGAACTGGTCTCTATAAAGTTCACAAATTTTCTTCAATGTTTTTCAAAGTAAAGGCATATCACTTGAAAGGTAATTAAATCATGGTAATACCAAATCAAAACAAAAATTATTTGAAAAGTTATAAGGAATGTTTGGTTCAGTTAGATAGTTCTTTTCAGGCCACATTTTTAAAAGTTCCAAAGAATAAGGACAATATTTGACAAATGAACAAAGATAACGAACCAAGAGGAAAACATGAAATGATAAAATATGGTGGCTTTAAATTAGAAAAATGTATTTTCTTATTCTTTAATATAAAACATAATCATTTTAATAGCAATGTTTAGTGACTCAATGCTAGAAAACAACTTTAATTACAAATTTTTAAAAATGAGTGTAGTGTGTCACATAAATGAACAATAATTTGCTCAACATAAAATCACTTATGTATCAACTATACAATCAATGTTACATACTGGAGTTAGTATTGTAAGATGTCTGATTTAACTTTTCTTGGGCTCATTCTCAGCCCAAATGTGAATTTACAGAGGAAAAGTTGGTAAATTTTTTTATGTCCATTTGATTTACTGAACATAGAGAACTACAAGCCAATATAAGTAGAGCTGAGAAAGAACTTCTGGAAAATACAGAGCTTTGATTAACTGAGAAAAACCACTTTTTAAAAAAAATAATTTATAATTGAGCAGGATTTGATAAGTAAATATGTCACAAAATATATAGAAGTTAGAATAACAAGTTTTAGAGTTTCATTATGTTAGTACAATATTAAAATACACATTACATTGTAATCCTCATTCATCAATTTAAAAAACATTAATCAACTTAAAATCGAATGAGTTCTAAAAGTTCCTTATTATTAGCTATCTAGAACTTAAAAAAAAAACAGGCACAGCGCACCATACCGCCTCAAGAAAACTAACCGAAACTTTACATTTTTTTTATCAATTGAAATGGTTAGTTCTGCCTCCCAAACACCTATCCCCAACATGCCCTCACTCCCAACACGTCCCCCTCCCAAAAAGTCAATGGTAGTGTTTTCCACAGTGGGGGCAACAAGCTATTTATTACTATACTTGAAACACTGGTCATCTACCATCTCCTTTCTTGTTTTTCTGAGGGCTCCAGCTATTAATTCTTGTTTCTCTTCCTGCTCTGTAATCTGTCCCTGGCTCAGCAAGTCTCTCCTCCCCTGACATACTATTGCAAAGTACAGCCTCACAGTTTCTCTCCTATCCCAGATCCCTATGAGACGTCAAAGGGTTTGGACTGCTATGTCAAAGATAATCAAGTAAGAACTAATGATTCCATCTTATGCCTCTCCTCATATTCTTGCCAGTAAAAAAGTTCCTTCACACAGAGACGACTGCTTTTACAGGTGACATCAAGAATGACTCAAGGCTCACCTATGTAGTAATTATTTCAGGAATTTTACTTCTAACTACTGTTGAGCCTACCAATTTCAGGAAGGACAGCAATGAAGTAAAGATGTATTCTCCTCTTTTCTCAGGGAGTCCCACAGTGTCAGACCCTGCCCAAAATGGCAATGAATTTAAGTGCCAGGTCTAGGTTACAAGAAGGTCCTAGAGTTTAAAAAACAAACAAACAAACAAAACAAAACTGAGGCAAAAAGGGAAAAAGAAACTGGAGTTTCCTAATTGAAAGAAAAAGGAATTCTTCTAATTATCTATCTAGGAACTGCCATCAGCAGTCAACAATAACAAGTTATCTAAATATTATTACTGAAACAAACATCGTTTTACATCAATAAAATGCTTTATGCTTGCAAAGATTACAAAATATAAACTTTAAGTCCTATCTGTCTAAATATATACACATAATCTAAAATACACCAGAAAAGCATTTACTCATATATAGTAATAAATTAATTTAAAACTATGTTACCAACTAATGTGACTTAATTTAAATTTTTAATCTAAAAAGTTGGGGCCACAAAGGAATAAAATACAGATTTGACTGGTGGCGGGGGGAACATTTTTTTTAACTGATACCTGAACAGGCTTCAAGAAGTAAATACTTCAAAGTATATGAGAAAAGTTAGAAACAATAAAAATAAGATAAAAATGCAAATATTAAAGTCTTCCCTATCTCAGAGACTTTGAAGGTTTTCCCTCCATTTTTGTTTTCAAATTATTCTTTGGTTTTAAGCTGCCATCACATTTCCATCTACATCATCATCTTTCCCAAACACTAGCCAGAGTGACACTTACGAAAGTCTTCTGAGTTATTTTCCTATTTCTCCTCTCCATTAGCAGATTAAATAACGATCACAAGTTTTTATTACATATTTTTTCAATTGAAAAGAAAAACAGGACATAAAGTTTGAATCTATTAAGACACAACAAAAAGTCTTAATAAATGAGAACTGTCCGCCCCTCAAAAACTTACAAACATCACATTTGTAATTCATACTATACACATGGCTGAGACAGGAAAAACATACACGGGCCTCTTTTTAAACAATTATTTCTGAAGCCTAATTACTGAAATCTTGTCAATAAAACATATATCTGTTATAGTATACTTACTTCAATCCTTAATTATATCCTTTTGAGGGCTCATCTTCCCATAGCAAAAATAAAAGCATAAGCCACTTTAATCTGATGAGTAGCATCATAATATTAGTAAAGTGTCAAATAAGGAAGCAATTAAAACTACGCAGATGTACTAACTGGTAGTAGAATAAATCCCTATCCAGTGAGGTTCCAAAATTAAAAGGGTTATGTTAAAAGTAAGGTCTCTTCATATTTGTATTTCATATTTTTGAAAAAAAAGTAAGTTTATTTGATGCATAGTCTGGACGAACTTTTTAAAAAGAAGTTTCTAAAAACAATCTTGCAGATTTTTATATATAGATAGACTAAATAATTTCAAACTAAATTCCGAACAGGACTGAGAACTAAACTGACTACACAGGTATGAGCAAGACAATACTGTAGTGTAGCGCTGTGCAGAAAAAATACTTTGCTATAAAACTAGGCAGACAATATCCCCTGCTGGCAGCTATTACAAAGCAAAGTAAACAGAATTGCACCCACAAAAGTAACACAAAAAGAATAAAAGACACTTTATATATCAACACCAGTTACATTTCAACTGCTACTAAGTATCTGCTGAAACAGCTCCAACTCTACAGGCCAAGAAGAGTGGGGGTTGAGGGATGTGAGGAAAACTAGCATGCACAGAAAACCAATTCAAATAAATGTAAGTTAAACAACTTTGCTTTTATGTAAATACCAATGCATATTATAATACAAATTAACACTGATAACTTGTACAGGCGTTAAACTAGTATTCATTTGTTGGATTTTAGTTTTAATTTACAGATATAAAAATTAGATGAATTTGCGTATCTTAAAACATGCAATGTTCATTTCAAATTACCAATAACTAGGAAGTCAGTAAAAGGCATGTATTTGATAAAACTGGATCCTCCCAGATCCACAGTCTTAGTTTGACAGTGCAACTATTTTTACAGACAAAAATTGCTACATGCCTGCATCAACTTTCTTAGTCTTTTGTTATAACTGCCAAAAGACTGTTACAATCTAAATATTTCATTAAGAAATTGGAAATTATTTGAAAATCTACAGATTATGTCCACACAGCTCTCCAAAATATTGTCGCTTAGGTACTAAAGACTAATTTCAAATATTACAGAACTAGAGTCCGCTAACTGCTATATACGAGTATACACACGTGGACTGTACTGCATAAGCATATTTGGATGTACTGCAACAGTATCACGGACTTCAAAAACGAGGTGTGAAGAATTTTGCAAAACTTTTAAAATTATTTCTTTAAAAAACCCAAAACCTGAAGAGTTAACATACACCATTTTCAATAGTTCAAATTACCAGAAACTCGCGCAAATTACCGAATAGCTTGACGCGACGCTCCACAGACACAATCCTAACAATATCACTCACGTAACATCAACTCCGAATAATTTTCAAGTCACATAAATTTTTTGAACCTATTTGGAAAGAGATGATGCCAAAATCAGGCCCTCTCCTTGCATTCCACCTTCCCCGGTTTCTGACAGATGATTGCCAAAACTACCGACCTAGGGAATGTGAAGATGATAAAAGTAGTAGCTAGCCCTCAGTTCGCAGGACCTAAAGTCGTTAAGTTATCACTGCCGAGAAATTAGCAAGACCAAATACAACCAAAAATCAGATACGTTTCCCTAACAAGTCTGGAATGAGTAAAGCAGGAGCCTCTAAATTTAAAATCATTCCTGCACCCTTTCATTGCATACAAATGTGAATACCACGCAAGGGTTCTCAAGCCCAGGTCAAATAGTAGTGATTCAGCCTTTTGTCCACCAGTCCCCTTAGACAAACTCGCCAGAATCAGATGGAAGGCGAGAAATGAGGCCCGAGCACAGGGAGCTATCGCAGCGTTAAGGATGGGATGCTCAAGGAGCTCAAAATCCCGGCGTGTCCCAGGCGGGGAAGGAGGACAACACCGGGCCTCCCCATCCCGGGTCTGCCCAGCGCTTCTTCCCCGACACCCGCAGCAATTCACACAATTCAAGCTTACCTCCTCCCTGAGCTCCCTTCACAAGCACAGCACAGTCTGGAGGCGTCACCGCCGCCACCGCTCCGAGGAGCGGGGGAGGCGACTCTCTGTCCCCGCGCCTGGCCCCGGGAAGACGATGAGGAGAAGAAGGTGCGCGCGCGGCTCCCAGGAACGGGCCCTCGGCTAGCGAGGGGCCCCAAAGGAGGCTGAGAAGCGGAACCCGCCAGCCGCTTCGCCGGGATCAAGCGAGACGTAGAAAGAAAAACAACGAAGAGAGACCGGAGAGTAGGAAAAGGCAACAAACACACCACCAGGCCGCTGGGAGGATCACCTCAAAATGCCACCGGAAGTCAGGGGTTTGCCCTGTTCCTCTGCAGACCCAGGCAGCTTCCGGCCGCCAGATTAGTCGTCAGCGCGCAGGCACCGCCCCTTTGCGGCCACCACACCCCCACTTCCCACCCCACCCCGTCGAGCGCGGTCGAAATCGTGAAATCCTTGGGGAGATCGCTGGGAAAGGAAACCCGGAGCCCGGAAGAGCTAACGCTCACAATTAAGTGAATTTAAGAGTTTCCTTCTTTCATTACATAATTTCCTACCATAAACGGCTGTTGTAAATGCGCTAAATGCCACTTTTGTCTTCGAAAGTAAGTACAACCATTCATTCATTTGCTCAACAATGTTTAACCAGCACTGAGCTGGAGCGACCAGCGGTGTCTGTCGTGTTTTTGACAGACCTCAGCTTTCTGGGCCGTTGTCTTTTCCTGTGGAGTAAACGGACTGCACGGTTGTGTTTTTAAAGGCGCAGGTAGAAATTTGTTGAAAAATTGGAGCAGAAATCTTTAATGTACTACTGAGAGCCTTTTTGTTGTTTAGGGTCCAATGATTTGCATGAAACGAGTTATTAAAATTGCTTGAGATGGCTAGCATGAATCAAAGAAAAAATCACCTAGCCTGTTGCAAAATAAAATTAAATTAAATTAAAATAAACGTGAATCCTTGTCTGCCTTAATTTTAGGGTAACATTTATTTTGTTCTTTGACAATGCCAAGGAATAGAAAAACCTTTTATCAAAACTATTGATAAAACTTTAAAAGAAACCAGTACAATGATTTGATCGTGTTGGAATCAGTAAATCAAAATGTGTGAGCAGAGTGAAAACAATCAAGAGCATTAAACATTATTGATGACATGCCATGTTATTTTAGAGACAGCTGCGAGGGCTTCTTTACACGTGGGCTGGATGAAACGCTTTGGCAGCAAGAATCCATATCTGCCTGTATCTCGAAGTTCAATTGTAAAGGAATATTTGATGCCCAAGTCATAGGTCCAATCATCCGAACCTCCAGGAGCTAGGTCTACAAGAAGAAAAAAGAAATTACTTTTTGAAATACAGATGTTTCAAATTAAATAACAAAATAGGATTTGTTTCCTAAAAATGAAAATTGCTTTGCTTTTTTCTGATTATTAAGTAAACTAAGTTTCTAGTAGAAAATGGAGATTGAAGGAAAACAGATTAAGGAAGAAAATAAAAATTACCC